ATATTTTACAGTTTTGTTGTGAAAAATGCTTCTTCATTTTCCAAGTTTCCCTTCTCTTTCACTTCCTTTTGACACATTTAGGAAGGCTATCAGTTCCACTCACTGCCATTTCTACAATATACAGACACTTCAAAAAGTTCATGGAACATAAAATTAAAACACAGGTTTTTCATAACATGCATTTTCATGAACCTTTTGAAGACCCCTCATATGTATGGATTTCAGAATGTCTGCAACAAAATAATCTTTTAATTCCATTTTGCACAAACTTTTTGAAGTATCCCTCCAACAAGTTAGTGAGTCAAGGGGAAAATGCAGAGTAATTATCACTCTGGAGACCTTCTAGCTCTGTGAATCCTACAAAATCAGGAAATACAAATGCAAGGCAAATAAACTGGGCATCCTTCTGATTCTCACTGTCATCTCATGCCTTAACTGTCCTTGAGCCCTATTTGTTTTATGTGACTTAGAGCAAAAAAAAAAAAAAAATCCATTTGTCATGTACACCATGGCTTTCTCGGCTTATAGCACAGAGCTTGGAATAAGGAATGTGCTTAATAAAAACAAAGTATGTTTCACTGAATGAATAAATTAAAATGACCTGAAAAGATGTAAAGGTTAGGAGGGTGATATCTGAACAAGTCACTTTGTATTAAAAACTCAACATACAAAATTTAAAAGTATCAACAATAAAAAATAAAGTTGGAAAACAGATTTACTATTTCTAGCAACAGTAATGAATTTGTAGGAAAAAAAGCCAAGCTTTTCTTGTGCATTAAAGAGAAGAAAAGCCCTTTCTTCCTGCAATGCTCCTCCAGGGCTATCTACTGACAAAGTTTACCATTGCGCCAGCTCACAAAAGAAAATATTTAAAGAACCCATGTCCACTTCCACAGGCATGCACAAATGGTTTATTTGGAACTAAGAGGCAATAAATTGACAACTGGCACAGCCCACTCCACTGGTACTTAGTTTCCATATGTACTCTTTTGTAAGTTTGACTTCTCACACAATGAAAGAACAAGGGAAGCAAAGGTGCCTCTGAGCACCAGTTTCCTGCAGCCTGGACAGCTTCTCTAGCACTCATTCATAACTTGTAATTCTTTTCTAACAAACAATCAGACGAGCAATAAAAGGCTATCAATGGAGAATTCCACAACTTCCTTCACAGCTCAGTTCACAAAGTTCCTCCTCTTATCTAACATGAATTTTTATATTCAAGATAAAAGGTTTGTGAATATTTTAAAAGCACTAGCCCTAGAAAACCTTGGCTGAAATCCTAGGCCTAGGCTGGTGCCATGGCTCACTAGGCTAATGCTCCACCTGCGGCGCCGGCACCCAGGGTTCTAGTCCCAGTCGGGGCGCCAGATTCTGTCCCAGCTGCTCCTCTTCCAGTCCAGCTCTCTGCTGTGGCCCGGGAAGGCAATGGAGGATGGCCTGGATGCTTGGGCCCTGCACCCACATGGGAGACCAGAAGGAAGCACCTGGCTCCTGCCTTCGGATCAGTGCAGTGGCCATAGCAGCCATTTGGGGGGTAAACCAACGGAAGGAAGACCTTTCTCTCTGTCTCTAACTCTGCCTGTCAAAAAAAAAAAAAAAAAATCCCATGCATATCACTTTTAATAACAGTGCTCTAACCAAGTTACCTAAAAGACTATCTCATAGAAAAATCGTTGTGATGAGTAAATCGACTAAGTGAAGACTACATCAGCCAACCAGAATCAAACAGTTAGAACCTAACCTTGCACAGGCCAAGAAAGTATGAATTGTTATTATTTTATTTGGAAGGATGGAGTTTATTTTCTTTCTCCCCACACTACCATGAAAGCTCCATGAAGCCAAAGGGATTTGTCTGTTTTGTTTTCCACCTTACCCACAACATCTAGAATATACCCCGGCCTAAACAAGTGCTCAAAAATACCTGTTTAGTAAAAAATAATCCACTGATCACAAGCTCTTCTGTATAAAAAAATCTTTTAGAGTCCTGAAGTTATAAGGATTTATAGTTTGGCAACTGAGAAGCAGAAGGGGAATAACGATATCAATCTCTTCTCTAAGATCAATCACCAGCACACACTCCTTCGGTGTGATAACTTGCCCGATGTTGGCGTATACCACTTTAATGGCCTGAGGGACTCACTCCACTGGAGCCCTCGTTTCCTTTTCTCAGGGGAGATAACTACTTCACAAGATTGCTAAAATATTTCTTATTAAAGAAGATAATGGAAATGACAGAATCTAAGCTTATGCTCTACTGAATTCAAGTATCACTCATACGTAACCTCTAGTTTTTCTTGTTCAAACACAATGCAATTAGCTTTCACTGTGCATTCAACTCAAGCTTTAATGAAAAAGCTGTTCTTCTCAAGGAGCTTTAGAAAGAATACAGGGGCTGGTGCTGTGGCTCAGTGGGTTAATGCCCTGGCCTGAAGTGCCGGCATCCCATTTGGGCGCCGGTTCAAGACCCGGACGCTCCACTTCCAACCCAGCTCTCTGCTATGGCCTGGGAAAGCAGTACAACCTGGCCCAAGTCCTTGGGACCCTGCACCCGTGTGGAGACCTGGAAGCTCCTGGCTTCGGACTGACATAGCTGCGGCAATTGGGGCCAACTGGGAAGTGAACTACCGGATGGAAGACCTCTCTTTCTGTGTAACTCTTTTTCTTTTTTTTTTTTTTTAACTCTTTCAAATAAATAAATAAATCTTAAAAAACAAAAAAGAAAGAGATATAGTCCATTTTATCAACATGGAGAATTCTATAATCTTTCAAAACCTTCTTCGCAGGAATTTCCATGGAAAGAATAGAGGACTGTGTTCTATAAATAAATAAAGTATCTAAGATACATCAAACTTACATACATCCAATCTAACACAGAACAAAAAGACCAACAAGCATCTGGCAGTAGAGTGGATGGCAAATATTGTGAAAGGTAACTAACTCTACAGATAAGACAACTGCCATCATTTAGTAGATTCACATTGTTGTCCTACTGACAGTTAAGCGTCTAGATCTTGGCTTCATTGATTCCTCTAATTATTTACTTTCCAACATTAAATAAATGTCCAGCCAGAACAACTATAAATGCAGGCTAAAAGGGCAGCACTATCAGTGACCTGCAGGGGGACTAACACACACATCCTATTACCTACAACTGGCAAGTGGCTACAGGCAGGGCTCAAATTTATTCCTAAACTTCAAGAACAAATAATTTTACCATTGATGCAAAATAGAATGTGGAGATAACTATTTTTCTGGTAGTACTAGAGCTGGATTATCAAAGTCTCCTCAAATCTCACAGCAGAGATGAAATTTTAGCTTCACTAAAAACAATGAATACAAAATTGCTCTATGTCAAAAATGAGAATACATCTATCTGTTATGGGCACCACCAATCAGTCTTATAGCAACCTAAGTTTTAGTACTTGAAACCTAGAGACTCAGTTTTCAAGATCTGCAGGCTCCACAATCCCTGGTGGTCTAGGAAAAAACATCTAGAACCAGAGATCCGATGTGACTGGTTCCCACCCCCCTCTCCGAAAATAAACAGCCAGTTAGGGACAGTGCTGATCAGAACTGTTTTCTCCACTTTTGAAATCACTCCCCAACCCAACAACAACAAAAAATCATTTCAAATACCACCTTCCCGTTTAGTATCACTCGATCTACACTAAAAGGTGGATCTACACTTAAAGGTACAGTACGGATCACAAGTTCCCCTTCTGCCCCCTAACCATTACCTGCCTACAGAAGCCCGGTTCACATGGAGGAGGAGGTGGGGGCAGGGGGTACAATATGAGGGCACTTCGCAAAGTCCAGGGAAACGCGGGAACAGAAAGCATGAGTTTATCTGGATTCAAAGTTTTTTCCCATAATATACGGAAAATCCCTATTACAAAAAACTATGGATTGACTTAAAAACACATTTTGGCACCAAGATAAATTCATACTTTTAATTCCATTCCCACGAACTTGTTTCCTCATTAAGTCTTTATTAGAAAACCTGTGAGATGTGACACCACCAGGAGATTATACAACAGGAAAACATAAACTAAGTTACTGACAGCAGGAATAATTGAATCACCCGACTTGAGTTAAAAGGAAACAAAAGTACAACACTACCCTGTTCCTAACTCTTGGCTTTTTGTTAAAATTGTACCTTTCCCCAGTTTTACACACTCATTTTCTAACAAACTTTCACAAACCAGCTGTGTATTTCATGGCAATGTATGCGCTTAGATGAACTCAGGCATCCCAGATGAGAATAAACTCTATACTCTGTAACTTGCTAGTTACCTGTCCCTAACAAATGTTTCGGATGGCACGGTTTATAAAGCTTTCGGTGAAGTCCTTTACCACCTTTAACCCAGCAGCAGCAACAATAACAAACCCCCTCATTAAATAACCCACACAAGTAGGGAAACATCTGCAGCCTAACCCCGAAGACAGATATCAATAAGGCAAATGCAGAGACCTGTCTCCATGCAGGAGACACCGGAGTCTCCTCCCGCCCCAAAAAGAGCGGTGGGGGTGGAGGGAAGGCTCCTAAGCCTCAAGTGCACTGCACGAGTCCAGAGCGACCACACACGCTCTCCGCATTCTGCAACGCTGGGCCGCTCGCTGGGCGGCCGCGGCCGTAACCCGCAGCACCCTTCAACCCAGAAGACCCCTGCGTTGCTCCGTGGTGTCCAAACCCGACTGCGGGCCCAAGAGCGGGCTGAAAGGCCAGGCCGCGGCCACTCTCCGCGTTGGGCAGGCAACCACCTTTCCCACTCCCAATCGAAATCGGAGTAATGGGTGTACTGCGGAATGGACTTCCTGGGAAGGTCCCTTAAGACAAAGGGCTGCGAATCGGGAACTTGGCCCTAGCTCGCGAGCCGGCCGGCGGTCCCGGGTCCGCACCCGCGCGGCCCGCACTCCGGAAGTATTCGGAGACCCCCACCCTCCCGCCCCAGACTGACTCTCCCCCCCTCAGCCGCCCGCCCGCGGCCTGAGCCCCTCACCCTGGTGATTGAACAGTCTCCATATCCTGGTGAAGAGAATTCCCATTCTCGGGCAGCGGACCCCCTCCAGCCGCCCGGCCGCCTGGCCTCCCCGGGCTCAGGCGGAGGGGCAGAGAGACGCGCTGGAGCCTCCGCCTCTGCTTCTGCTGCTCCCGCGCTGGTCGCCGGCCCGCTTCCAGGGAACCGGAGGGAGGCCGAAGCCCAGGCCGTCCTGTAGCGCACGAGGCCCCGCCGCTGCCGCCGCGGCACTCGCCTGGCTCGCGGACATCGCCGCCGCGTTGTCTGCGACGAGCCTCGCGGGCCACCGTCCTCCCCCAGCTCCTCTCCGGCGGCTGCGGTGGCGGGGACCACGCGGGCGGGGGAGGTGAGGGGGCGGGGCCGGCGAGGCGGGAATGCGCATGCGCGCGGCCGGAAGGGGGTCTGAGGGGGCGGGGTCTGGGGAAGGCAGCTGTCTGGCTCCACCTTATTTACGTAACGAGGCGGCTGTGTGAAGGTGTTGGAGTTGAGGCTGTGCCGGTTGCGGTTGGGGTGGGTGACTTTGGTCTGCTTGCTGTTGGATCTCCGCGGCGTCTTTATGTTTTCCCTAAATTTCCTCCCTAGACGCATAATGTAAGTGTGTAATTTATATAATAAATTCCTAGCCCTTCCCACACGCTAGAGCAGAAGTCCCATGTTTTGGCCCTCCACGACATGATGTTCCCCCAAGGGGCTTTGAGGGAATCATAAGCTTGTTCTGTTTCCATCCTCTAGCCCAGCTGAAGTCACCGAGTCGTCTTATGGCCGTCTTTGAGCCTTGGAGTCCTACTCTCTCCAATCTCAGGTCCGTTTGCCCAAAGCGATCATTTTGATGAAGTCACTCTGGTTAAAAACATTGTGTGGGCAGCAAAGCTGAGAAGAGTCTTGTTTCCTTTTAACAGTCGGTCAAGTGCTGGCTCTGCTCTTCTAGTCTGTACTCTGAACAGCTATGTCCTCTGCTGTGCAAGGACTAGGTCCACCCTCCACTGTGGGGTGTTGAAAAGTAAAATGTAAGTGAATCATGAGGTCACTTCCTGTCGGCGTTTTTAATCCCCTGTGTTTTTTCCAGCTGGCCAAGTTACTAAACCCCTCCAGGCCTCAGTGTTCACATAGGGAATAAACAGTGTTGATCTCTGAGGCCTTGCTTTGATTCTAGGTTAGCTGATGACTATGAAAATTAGTCTCAACTAATTTGGAGGCGAGAGGTGGGGAAAAAGCAAAACCAGCAATAACTCCAGCCCCTTGTATTCTCTGTAACTTTGGTAAAACGGAAGAGAAGGAAGAGTAGGAGGGGAGTTGTAAAAGGCGTTTGAACTGCATTGTGCCCTTTATTTCCAACAGCTGAATGCAATTAAATACAATCAACTACACCTTTTCACCTCAGTGCTGTTAGCTCTACCTCATCACCTCAATATACAGAAAAGTAATTTATTGGGGCTTATCGTTAAAAGGACAAATTTTACAGGAGACATACACCAAGGAAGGGAAAGAAAATAACTATAATAACCCACTGTAAAGATTATCATGTCTGGGTTTACTTAATGAAGTGCTATAGGCTCTTTAGAAATACAATATTGTTTGCATAACCAATTTGTACTCTTTCATAGTTCTGTTCTTGCACAGTGTAGGTCATGTTTTGGCTGGTCTAAGGCATTTTGCAAACTCCCACACATCTCTATAGATTTATTAAATCTATAGACATAGATATGTCAGATCCATCAAGTTGTGAAATTAGGACCTCATATTTTGTAATCTACATTAAGGAGTTTGTCCTCGATTATTTTCTAAGTGTCTCTCAGGAAAAAAAATCTTCATTTGCCTTTCCAATACATTCTTGCCCAACTATACCACCTGTAGGTACAATAAAAATTTGGAACTACTGTAGAATTAATTGGGAATCTTGTTCACTGGTGGGAAGCTATTTGTGAAAACAGATTTCATCTGAGACCTTTTAAAGAGGGATTTATCCATAAGTATCGAGAATGCAAAATGTCATTGCAGAGGCTTCTTCCGGTTTTGAGAGTAGAGTTGACTGGATTTACTGTCCTATCATTAACAAACAGAAAACTGGATAAAATATAGGAAAGAACTGCTTTCAGATATTGGAAAACACATAGCACCAAACCGTGATCCCTCACAAAAGGGAGACAAGCGCGCTCATCTTCGCCTGGGCTTTCTGCCTGGAAGCAGTTCCTGGCCGACGACAGAGGCAGCGCAAACCCAAGGAAGAGTCTGCAGTCTCCAAGGGCTGCAGACACAGATCAGTGTTCCTGAGATCAAGGTGGCCAGGAGCTTGTGAAGCAGAGTACCTGAAAGTAGGGAGCTACACAGAGAAAAGGTCTGGAAACCAGCACAGGGGTCTGTTGCGTCTTTGGGTGCATGTGAATCTGTCCTTGTATCCAGTGAAAAATCCCAGGAGGCTGGCCAATAACAATTTTAAGGAAAAAAAGCCAGTACCAGGAAGCTGTAAAACAAGAAATTCCCAGATGTGACAGAGGACCAGGGAATCTCTTGAATTCCTTCCAGTCAGCATGAGGAGGGCTCACTGAATAGGTGTCTTTAGTAGAAACCCCAGAGACCTTGCACGAGGAGCTAAATTAACCTTGAATGAGCCTTCCACTAAACCAACCTTAAGGATATTTAAAACCTTCAAAAGGCCATACTAATCCACAAAGCTTGACAAAACAGGTCCACCATTTTTTTTAACACATAGGAATATATTTTACTGAAACAAAAGCTTAATCAACATTTTTTTTTACCTAGAAACCTTTTATTTAAGGTATATAAACACGCATTTCATATATACAAATTTACGAACATAGTGATTCTTCCCACCTTAATTACACTCAGGTCCACCATTTTTTAAAGAATTAACTTGTAAGTCATCGATGTAGTGAAATTCACATCTAAATTCCACACACACACACAAAATTGCTTGACATCCAAGGAAATGGAAAAATGTCACCTGTAATGAAAAAAATCATTCTACAGGGAGAGATCCAGGCACAGGGAAGTTAAGAGATTGCCTTAAACTCATGGTTAGTTATTCCTGGATCTAGGTTTTGAATCCAGGGGAAGGTGAGGTCTACATTGTAACCACTATGCTCATCTGTTATGTTGTATGAGGGGACAAATAACATGTTTCTCCCTACCATCCATTTTGTTAGAGAAAATGTGTGATAATGAGACAGGTGGCTTCAAGCACTGGCTGGCTGATGTGCTGATGGTGAGATACTGTAATTCTGCCAGTTGGGAGTTTCAGATTGTAGGTTGAAACACTTTGATAGTTGGGGCAGTTTCAGATAATACCCCTCAAATTACGGAGAAGTTTTCGGTCAACAGTGATTGAATTCCAGGCATTCTTTTATACTCTTCAGATGACTACCTCGATTAAAAGCATGTAAAACATTCATTTTTAAATGAAAGTACTTTAGAGAGAAAAGTTACAGTAAGCTTTGGTTTCCTCACTTGTAGTGGGGTCTAATAACCCACACCCTATCGGCTTTGCAGGATGGTCAGATAGATTAAATATGCTAATGTTTGTGAAATAACTTGACTGGAATAAATCACTTTGTAATTTTAATGCTGTGATAATAAACAACTTACCACATATTTCTTCTGAATGTCTGTACAGTGCAATGAGAGAAAAATCAAATTTCAATCAAATCATAGCATAAACAACTGACTCTTGAATACAGGAAGTGTCAATGTCATAAGCTATATCCAATTTGTGGAATTCGTACTGTACAGGATAGCTTTGGAAACCAGATAACTGCCACAGTAAAGCAACCATTTATAGGTTACTTTGTGAATAAGGGTCACCTAGTATCTTTTTCTCTATTGTATTCAATTCTATTTCACACATGAATCCTAATACAGTGTGTGAGAGTCCTTCAAAAACATAATGGAGGGGCTGGTGCTGTGGTGTAGCAGGTAAAGCCACCGCCTGCAGTACCCACATCCCATATGAGCTCCGGTTCTAGTCCCGGCTGCTCCACTTCTGATCCAGCTCTCTGCTATGTCCTGGGAAAGAGGTGGAAGAGGCCTAAGTCCTTGGGCCTCTGCACCCACGTGGGAGACCCGGAAGAAGCTCCTGGCTCCTGGCTTCAAATAGGCAAAGCTCCAGCCATTGTGGCCAATTGGGGAGTGAACCAACAGATGGAAGACCTCTCTTTCTCTCTCTTTCTCTCTCTCTGCCTTTCCTTCTCTCTCTGTGTAACTGACTTTCAAATCAATAAATAAATCTTTAAAACAAAATATAGTGGAAAATGGAATCAACAGATAAATTCAAGTGCAAAAATGTGAAATTAATGCAAACAAGGAGTTTTAAAATAGTTCTTGAAAAATTCATATTATGAAAAATCTGCATGGATCTCTTTTTTTATGTTAAAATAAACACGTATTTTTTTTTTTTTTTGACAGGCAGAATTACAGATAGTGAGAGAGACAGAGAGAAAGGTCTTCCTTCCATTGATTTACTCCCCAAATGGCCGCCATGGCCGCCGCTGCGCCAATCCAAAGCCAGGAGCCAGGTGCTTGCTCCTGGTCTCCCATGTGGGTGCAGGGGCCCAAGCACTTGGGCCATCCTCCACTGCCCTCCCAGGCCACAGCAGAAAGCTGGACTGGAAGAGGAGCAACTGGGACTAGAACCCGGCACCCATATGGGATGCCAGCACCGCAGGCAGAGGATTAACCAAGTGAGCCACGGCGCTAGCCCCAAACAGGAGTGGACAGTGAGAGAGAGACAGAGAGAAAGGTCTTCCTTTTTGCCGTTGGTTCACCCTCCAATGGCCGCCACGACTGGTGCGCTGCGGCCGGCTCACCGCGCTGATCCGAAGGCAGGAGCCAGGTGCTTATCCTGGTCTCCCATGTGGGTGCAGGGCCCAAGGACTTGGGCCATCCTCCACTGCACTCCCAGGTCACAGCAGAGAGCTGGCCTGGAAGAGAGGCAACCGGGACTAGAACCCTGTGTGCCGGCGTCGCTAGGTGAAGGATTAGCTTATTGAGCCGTGGCGCAGGCCAAACACGTATCTTTTAATATCATTTTCCCATGAAGGTCTTGAAGTATCCTCATATATCTTTTTTTTTTTTTTTTTAAAGATTTTATTTATTTATTTGAAAGGTAGAGTTACAGACAGGGAGAAGGAGAAACAGGGAGAAAGGTCTTCCTTCCACAAAGGATTAATCTACTGCGCCACAGCACTGGCCCCTGCCCCATGTATCTTAATATATTATATATTCTATTTGTGTATGACATGACTGCACTTACAAATTCTTTCCTAATACAGCAATTCTTTTGTGATTGCTCATGGCAC